GGGGGGGAAAAGGGGAACATTAAATTAGAAACGAAGGAGAGAGAACGTGCCCCTTTCCCCACCACCGGTTTCCAAGAGCGCCTCCCTCTGGCGATCCTGATCAACTTCCCGCCAGGATCGGGCAAGGCCCCTTCGGGAGGTCCCTTCCTGCAGTGAGGAGACAGACGGTGGCCAAACCAAAATCAAGTGAATTTCCGTTTTGTTTCATTGTGAAGCGCGGGAGCCGAGCCGAGCCGCCCGCGCCTTTCCTGACCAGGAGAAACCGAGCGAGCGTTGAGAACGGAGCCCCCTCCCACCCGCCGCGGCCTCTCCTGGGCGCAGCCAAGGTGCGCCTCTTCCCCCCCCAGAGGGGCTGCGACGTCCCCACGCGCGCCACCTCCTCTGCGGGAGGGGAGGTGATGGAGGGGCAGTGGCGTGGGTGGGTGTGCGCGCGCACGCACCCACGCGCGTGTGTTTGGCGCACACCCCCGGTTTGCTCGTTTGGGTGGGTTGCCGCCGCGGAGGCAGCGGCGGTGGCGTCGTGTCCAAGTTATCGCCTGCGGTTTGACATCTTTCGTTCCGAAGCGGTGCGTCCAGAGACGGGCAGACGGAGCTTCAACCAACCCGGTGGTCCTGCGGGGGGGGCTCAGCCCATCTCCTTCCAGTGCTTGTAGAACTCCAGCACGTTCTGGATCTCAATGCTGGCGCTGGCCGCTGCCTGGATGGCGGACTGAGGAGAGGAGAGGAGAGAAAGGATTCCAGCGAGCAGGCAGAGGTCTCAGCCTGCAGCTCTGCCGCCCTCAAGGCCCTGGAGGTCATCTAGTCCAGCCCCCTGCCCCAGGCAGGAATCCACTGCTATTGCTATTGCTTGTCTTCCTAATCAGAAGGGCGTTGTTGCTTTTTGTATGGGGGTTTTATCCCTGGAGCTGCCTGGAGTCTCTGTGAGTGAGCTGGGTGGCGATATCAATTTTCTTAAATAAAATAAAATAAAATAGCTCATCTTGTGTCTTCCAGCGAGGCATTCTTCGGAAGCGGAAGACCCTGAGGCAGCACTGTCACTCTTGAAACAATTCACAACCAGTAGGAATATTTTACCTTTTTTAAAAAATCCCACTTTTATTACTTTAAAAGTAACTCAAGGTAGCCAATGAATCCAATATTCCTTCCTCCTATTTTTTTCCCCCCACAGCCACAACAGCCCTGTGAGGTGTCTTGGGCTGAGAAAGAAGGACTGGCCCAAAGTCGCTAGGATCTTGCAGAATTTCTGTGGTTTTTGTTTTTTAAAAATGTTGGAAGGTGGGGGATATTTCTGGACAATGTAGGAAACTGTACAATGGTTCCTGTTACCTGTAAGCTGTTACGACCTCTACAATTAGAATACAATAGAGCTGGAAGGGACCTCGGAGGTCTTCTAGTCCAGCCTCCTGCTCAAGCAGGAGACCCTATACCATTTCAGACAAGGGACTGTCCAGTCTCTTCTTAATTGAATCGACAGCACATACGTCCTTCCTATTTCTTACTTTTTAATGCATCCCAATGGATCCAGCGTTTCTCGATCTCGGCAACCTGAAGATGGGTGGACTTCAACTCCCAGAATTCTGCTCTGCTGGCTGGGGAATTCTGGGAGTCGAAGTCCACCTGTCTTAAAGCTGCTGTTGAGAAACACTGTAAATAATGGACCAACTCTTCTTCCCCTGTTTTTAAATTAAAGCAAGGACAGGTAGTCCTTGACTTACAAGAGTTCATTTAATGACCGTTCAAAGTTACAACGGCAGTGCAAAAAGGGACCTTACGACCTTTTTCACACCAGCAACCATTGCAGGAGCCCCACAGCCAGGGGATCAATGTCCCAGGGTCAGGGGGTCGAGCTTCCGACCAGCAAAGCCAATGGGGGAAGCCAGATTCACTTATCAACCGTGTTGCTAACTGGACAACTCCAGTGATTCACTTAACAGCTGGAGCGAGGAAGGTTGTAAAATAGGGCAAAATCCACTTAAAAATGTTTCGCTTAGGCCCAGGGACCGGTTCCACGGAGAGAGGTTTTTCCGTGGACCGGAGCGTGTGTGGTTTTGTGTGTTGCCTGCATCCCGCAGATGGGGCTTTGTTTGCGCAGACCGGTTGCTGGCATGCCACGGCCCGGTACCGGTCCGCGGCCCCGGGAGTTGGGGACCCCTGGGCTTAGGGCTTAAAAACAAAGAAGGGAGACGGAGCTGGTGGTCTCCAACTCACAGCTACCTGCATGGGAGCAGAAAGCTTGCTGGGGTCCTGGAGTTGGAAGCCGGTGATGACGGTCACCATGCCAGCCGTGTCGTCTTCGCTGCCTCCCTGAGAGGCCGTCAGCTGCTTACAGCTGTCCAGGATCTTGTAGAGGTTCCTAGGAAGGGAGGAGGAAAGACACCAGGTTGGAGAGTGGAAAATCTATTGGCAAAGGCATGCCGAGTACAGGCGGAGTGGAAGGATTTATATTCCTTGCAGACAGCTGGTCATTTGCCTCCTTTTAGAGATGTCATTGAGGCCACTTGGAGGTTTTTCTGTGTCTTCAGGGTCACCTGAGCGGTGCAAATGGGTGTGGAGCCTTCTTGCTGCAGGATGTTTCCTGCCCTGGGTCCCTTCCCTGTTGAAGACAGGCATAGGCTTCTCATCCAGAAGCTTCTTCAGCTTCGATTTCTTTGAAGACATTTTGCTTCTCATCCAAGAAGACAACACAGACTCATCCCCAACAGCCCGCGCCTTTCTCCAACAGGGAAGGGACCCAGGGCAGAAAACATCCTGCAGTCAAGAAGGCTCTGCACACATTTGCACCACTCAGGTATTTATTTATTTATTTATTGATTGATTGAATTTTTACCCCGCCCTTCTCCTTACGGACTCAGGGCGGCTAACAGCCTGATAAAAACAAATACAAAAATATCAAAATACTATCATTAAAAACATAATTAAAATGAAATATTAGATTGGCTGTTGTTATTTTAAAATTATTTTAAAACCCCGCTAAAAATGACCCCTTAGGCCAGTCCTGCTAGTTGAAATAGCCATGTCTTAAGTGCGCGGCGGAAGGTAAACCTCCAAGTGGCCTCAACGACTCTCTAAAAGAAGGCAAAGGACCAGCTGTCTGCAAGGAGTATAAATCTTTCCATTCCCCACCCTCCAGTCAGAGCTGAAGAAGCTTCTTGGTCTTCAAAGAAAAACAAGGACGTCCAGTTGCCTCGTGAATAAGCATCTTTGGGACATCATGTCTTTTTGCCAATTCCATTACTGAATTCTTGTGAAGCTACAAGTCTCAGGGAGTTGAAGCTGCTGAAGGTGAGAACCACCGTCAGGGACAAACTCTTCTCCCCCCCCCCTTAAATAAAGCAAGCAAATATTTGGGGTGTCTACGCCAGCCGCTTCATTTTTCCTTGGAGGTTTCAAACTTCCTTCCTTCCGTCACACTTCTCAGAGCGGAAGGTCGTTACTCCCGAGAGACCCCAGACTGCAAAAATGCTTGCTCTCCGGTTTGAAATCAAGGTGCCCCCACATTCCCTCCACCCAGCTGCAGAAAACTGTCCACATCTGAAATTCTTGACTCTCAGCTTTCTCCTTTTTTTAAAAAAAAAGGAAGTTGCAAGGAGCTGGCTTTCATGTAAATCAGGCTCCAAATAGTGGAGGCCGAGTCACTAAGATCAGGGAGGTATGGAGTCAAGAAAGATCCAGCTAAGGCCTCAAAACTTTACGGTTTGGCGGCCCGGTGGGCAGGGGGGGAAGAGGGGAACCGCCCCGCGCAAGTTGAGCCGCGCACGTGCACAGGTGCGCTGGCTGGCCAGTTGCTCAGGCAACCCAGTTCCAAACAGGCCACGGCCCGGTGGTGGGCTGTAGCCCGGGGGTTGGGGACCACTGAGCTAAGGGATCAAGCCTTCATTCATGCTCACCAAGCATCTAAATCTTGTCTCTTCAGTTTATGCCTCTCAAAACTTTTCCCGGCTTCTTTCTGACAGCGAATGTACCTGGAGAGAAGATCACAGGAGAGAATCACAAAATTACTAAGTGGTGATGATACTGATAGCCGAAGATGCAAATGAAGTGCAAGCTCTAGCAACGAAGGTCAAGGAGCACAGTGGGGAAAAAAAATGGGCTAACTGAGGTTAAATATAAGGAAGAACAAACTAGCTACAACAGATGCAGCAACCGGCCTTAGAATTGAGGGTGGAGAGCTTTCGGAGAAACATCAGCCCAAAGGATGGTTTTTCTACACATTTTTTTTTTAAATTATCACAGTTAAACGGCTGCTTCCAGCTTTTGGAATGTCTTTTTTCAAAAACTCGTTCCCATGGCCCTTCTCTCCTGCATAGGTAGTCCTTGACCACAAAATTTCTGTTGCGAAGCGAGACAGTTAAGTGCATTTTGTCCCACCTTAAGACCTTTCTTGCCACAGTTGTTAAGTGAATCACTGCAGTTGTTAAGTTAGTCACACGGCTGATAAGTGAAATCTGGTTTTCCCCCCGCTGGCTTTGCTTGTCGGAAGGTCACCAAAAGGGGATCACGTGACCCCCCCCGGGGACACTGCGACCGTCGTAAATATGAGTCAGTTGCCAAACTTCCGAATTTTGATCACGTGACCACGGGGGAAGCTGCAATGGTTGTGTGAAAAACGGTCACGGGTCTCTTTTTTTCAAGGCCGTTGAAATGGTCATTAAATCAACTGTTGTAAGTTGAGGACTACCTCAATAGTTAAGGAATATCCCTTAGCAAAAACTATCTTCCAATCAATGAAAAATATGGAAACGAATAGAATAGAATAAAAAAGAAAATGGGAATATAATTAGAATTAATGGAATGGAATGGAATAGAATAGAAGAATGGGAATATAATTAGAATTAATGTAATGTAATAGAATAGAATAAAATAGAATAAAAAAGAAAATGGGAATATAATTAGAATTAATGGAATGGAATGGAATGGAATAGAATAGAAGAATGGGAATATAATTAGAATTAATGTAATGTAATAGAATAGAATGGGAATATAATTAGAATTAATGTAATGTAATGTAATAGAATAGAAGCTGGAAGGGACCCTGGAGGTCTTCTAGTCCAGCCTCTGCTCAAGCAGGAGAACCTATACCATCTCAGACAAGTGGCTGTCCAGTCTCTTCTTAAAAACCTCCAGTGATGGAGCGCCCACGATTTATGAAGGCAATTAGCTTGTTTTAAATTTCTTTTTTGAGTTTTCTTCTGTAGGAATGTAGTTCATCCAAAATGTTTAAGTGGGTCTGTAATTTCACATCTGGAATGCTTCCCCCCCCCCTTCTCCTGATGAATATGTGGAGGAAAGAGCAGGACAGGGACAGGACTACCTACCTGTTTCCCTTTTTAAATTCTGCTTCTAAGTATCGGATGCTGTCACGAGCTCCTGCATTCTCCTTCTTCAGGAAATCTAAGCCATCAATGACTAAAAGCAGAAAACAAGAGGCAAGCATTCTTTTGTTACTTCCCCTTTGACAACAACAGGTGACCTGTAGGTCATAGAGCACACTGCCCACCTCCCCCCTGCAACCTCCATAGTGTGTGTGGGGTGTGTGTGTGTGTCGCACACCTTCCTAAAGCCATGCCTGTCCTGGCCCAGCATTCCCAGACACCTTTCTCTTCCCTCCCAGACAGGGAGGTACAGAGAACTCCCCTTGGGCAAATCTACCAGGAATGGGCTGGTAGGGATTCCTTCTGCTTCAGCTCTACCAGCATTCGGCTTACCTGTCCGTGGGATGATGACAATGAATCTCCCGCTGGCGGCCAGCTGCCTGATGGGGCTGAGATGCTGGCAGAGGGCTTGGGTGTCTGGGACCAGATACGGGGACATCACGCACTGAGCCTTGGGCTGCTGGAGACTTCCTTCCAACTGGGACACCTCCAGCTGTTTGGGGAGGGTGGGAGAAATGGAAGTAAGAACCTTGAGGGAAGACGCTCCGAGGAGGAACATCACCTCTACAGGGGCTGCTTGCAGCTCAGCGTATGAAGAGACAGTGACAAAGATGGAAAGTTACTCCACGCAAGTCACAACTCGCCATCTTCTCAGTTGGGATGACCACAATTCCTCACCCAGAATTAACAAAGCAGTACAAGCAGGTTGCAATGAATGGGAGTTATGGAATATTGCAATATTTAGTGCAAGGCGTGTGTTCTTTGTTTTGCTACGTGCGTCTTAATTTTTCCCCTGGGGCTTATTACACTGATGTATGAGCCATGGTGGCGCGGTGGTTAGAATGCAGTATTGCGGGCTAACTCTGCCCAAAGCCAGGAGTTCAATCCTGATCGGCTCAAGATTGAGAGTCGGCCTTCGGAGGTTGATAAAATGAGGAGCCAGATTGTTTGGGGGCAACATGCTGACTCTGTAAAACCACCCAGAGAGTGCTGTGGGGTAGTATATAAGTCTACGTGCTATTGTTATTTAATTGCATTTGCCAGGCAGACTTGCTTGCTTCACAAGAAGGACAGCCTTATAAGTCAAATCAAATGAATGAAATAAATGATTGGGCAAGGCAGATTCTTTCCTTGCCCGGGAGGATGGATCTGATTGGAGCAGGGTTCCAATTCAGACAGATCCATAGCAGCCCCAACCGGTCCTCCTTCCTCCCCACTCGGCCCACCCCTGTACCTGCAGCCGAAGCTGAGCCATGTCACGCATCAGCCTGTTCCGGCGGGCTTCCTCGGCAGCCTAGGGGAGGGAGACAGGGCACACGTCAGCCTGCTTTTTGAACTACGACAACTCCCTTTCCCAGATGCAGTCTAGTGGTTCCCTCTAGGACAGTGATGGCGAACCTTTTAGAGACCGAGTGCCCAAACTGCAACCCAAAACCCACTTATGCATCGTTGGGTGCCGGATGGGTGAGGCCCACTGGCTGGGTGTGGCCCATTGGCTGGGCGTGGCTGCAGTGGTAACGGCACACTGGGTGGGACTAAAAAGTTCAATCAAACAATTCCAACTTTGCAAGATCTTTTTTTTCCCCGCGAGAAGTTGAAATTGACTGATTGAACCTTTTTATTTTTTTTTGCACAGGGTGGCAGAGGCCTAAAGCAAAAAGATTTTATAAAACTCAGCTGAAGGCCTAGGACTGGGACGACGGCGCCCGTGCCCACAGAGAGGGCTCTGAGTGCTGCCTCTGGCAGCCGTGCCATAGGTTCGCCACCACTGCTCTAGGACAATCAATACCTTCAGGATACAGCTTCCAAAAAACCCAATTGTGAAGAGTGAATTTGCATAATGCTTAATTCTATGACAGATACCAGATAACGTAAGTCTTTTTTTTTTCAATCATGCTGACCACACAAAATTTACATACAAAACTCTCCCATCACCCCTCTCAATGTCACCAAACACCTCACTGTGTCCAAGCTTTTCACCAATGGCGAGAGATGCCTCCTTTTACAAATCAACTGATTTTTCCAGAGAAGGAATCGTACGAGGAGCCAACCGTCTCCCTCGACACCCGAAGCGGTAAAAGAGGAAGTAAAGAAGACGACCACCAAAATGGCTGTGACCAGTGACATGGCAGACGGAGCGCCGGTCTGCTAGTTCTTTGCCTGCCCCACCTCAGCACCCACCCAGCCTTGGTTTCCCCTCCGGGCTCACCATGCGGAACTGCGCCTGGGCCTGCTGCAGCAGACCGTCCTGCTCCGATTGCGCGATGCTGATGAAGATCCCCACTTCGGAGTTGTACTGCAGGATGCTGCCTTGCAAACGGGTGATGAAATGGCCGAAGCTTCGAATGCAACAGATGCGAACTACAGACTGTGGGGAGAGGAGAGAGGGCATCTTTAGGGCAGGAGAAGCACCAGGGGGAAGTCAGCCAAGGAGAAGGCTACTGAAGCAGCTGGGACAGGGGTTGGCAACCTTAAACACTCAAAGAGCCACTTGGACCCGTTTCCCAGCGAAAAGAAAACACTGGGAGCCGCAAAACTTGCTGCTGCTTCCTGCTTCCTGCAAAGACACAGCAAAGGCAGGAGCCCCGCCCAATAAGCTTGTCAGCTTGTCCGAGAACAGCGTGAGGCCACTCTCTTTTTCACACACACACACACAGAGAGAGAGAGAGAGAGAGAAAGAAAGAGAGAGAGAGAAGGGGAGGGAAGGGAAGCACAAGTGCCTCTCTCTGTCTCTGTCTCTGTCTCTCTCTCTGCAAATGGCGGAGGAGGCTGGGAGCCGCAGGAGAAGGTTCAAAGAGCCACATGCGGTTCCGGAGCCGTGGGTTGCTGACCTGTGAGCTGGGAAGAGGATGGATGGATGGATGGATGGATGGAGTGAGTAACCGGCTCAGCCCAGCCAAAGCTCAAACTGCCCACTGCAATTAGCTGGCAGAGGAGCTCTCAAAGAAGGCGAACAAGATCTGCCTCGCAAAGTGAGTCTAATTTGAGAAACATCCGGTCAGGGCTGCCTCTCTCCTACCCAAGCTTCATGAGCTGACAGCCTGACATTAGTAACGGGAGAGAGGGGGGGAGGGAAAGATTGCACTGAAGGAAGAAGGGGAGGATGGAAGCCCAGCTGAGTCTTTTGAGAAGCTTCAGCCAGCCAAAGTCAGCTATTGGTATGGAGAGCCGGGAACCGAAAGCCTGTTTCCTAAACCAGGGATCCCCAATCCCCCGGTCCGTGGACTGGCATCGGTCTGTGGCATGCCAGAAAATGGGCCGCGCAAACAAGCAAAGTCCCATCTGTGGGATGCAGGCAGCACACGAAACCACACCTCTTCTGGTCCATGGAAAACCTCTCTCCAAGGAACCGGTCCCCGGTGCCCAAAAGGTTGGGGAACACTGTCCTAAACAATACGCAAGCACTTAATTGGACATTTACAGATAACTGGGGGATGGCTGGTGGGAAGAGGGAATTTTACTCTGCATTGTTTGCGCGGGGAAACCTCAGACTCAGCTTTGCTACTTCGGTAACCGCTTAAGCTTCCGTAAAGTATAGTCTTGGCAAAAACAAACAGCCAGGGGTCTTTCTTTGCTAGATGACGGGAGTGGGACGGTTGATGCATCCCTGCTTAGAGCAGTGTGAAAAAGCTTCCATCCAGTTCCAATTATTGTAGGGGCGGAGGGTACCTGGCCACATTTGAAGGGAAGGAGGACCATAAGAGCCCTGGTGGCGCAGTGGTTAGAATGCAGGATAATTCTGCTGAATGTCGACTGTCAGCTGACAGGTTGACTCAGCCTTCCATCCTTCCCAGGTGGGCAAAATGAGGACCCAGATTGTTGGGGGCAAAAGGCTGACTCTGTAAACTGCTTAGACAGGGCTGTAAAGCACTGTGAAGCAGGATATAAGTCTAAGTGCCTCCTTCCTTCCTTCCTTCCTTCCTTCCTTTCCTTCCTTCCTTTAGAAACCAGAATTGCAGGCTAAACTCTGCCCACTGCCAGGAGTTCAATCCTGACTGGCTCAAGGTTGACTCAGCCTTCCGTCCTTCCAAGGTGGGTAAAATGAGGACCTCGATTGTTGGGGGCAAGAGGCTGTGTAAGCCGCTGAGAGAGGGCTGTAAAGCACTGTGAAGCGGTATATAACTCTAAGTGCCATTGCTATTGCTTGCAACAAGATTTAGAGGCTGTATTGAACACTACAACAATCCCAGATCCAGGAACTTCTGCAGAAAAAGCATGCTTGGTCTAATCCTCCAATGCCAGTTGCTCACCCACAACTCCTCAAAGTCAAGGGGGAAAGCACTCTGTGCATGCTCAGGGGGCCATGCACGAAGGCTATCATCTAAAGACACCCCGTTTTTTTAAATCTTAGGGCATACTTCTGACTCTGCTACCAAAGGTGTGTGTGTGTGGGTGGGGGGTAAACTCTGTCCCTGCTCAGAGACTCCGAGCACGCATTCTCACTGGTTCACTCAGCCTTCCATCCTTCCAAGGAACCAGATTGTTGGGGGGGGGGAAGAGGGGGCAATATGCTGCTTGTGTAACCCGCTTAGAGAGGGCTGTAAAGCACTGTGAAGCGGGATGTAGGTCTAAGTGCTATTGTTATTGTAGTCCTCAACCCAAATCCAACTTTTAGGGTTTTTTTTTGTTTTAAAGGAATCTCCATCACCTCCTCCACTTCAGTAAGGACAGGCCGGTCCTGCTCAAAGTTAAACCTCTTGTGCGCGCCCTTCAAGGGGGGCAGGTTGCGGAGGGCCACGTCTTCTGGGAGGAGCAAGCAGGTACTCAGGTCGGGAACTTCGGAAACCGGCAACATGGTCTTCACTTCGCTGGAGAGAAACAACCCTGCAGCACGGGGAGGAAGAAGGGAGACAGTCACCAAGAGAGCCCAGAGGGAGGAAAGCCCTGAAGCCCCTCCAGGGCCGCTTCTAATTCTGAATTTGAATCGTTTTATTCTTGTTTTTAACTATTTTATTATAATGCTTATATACAGAGAGTCCTCGACTGACAACAGCTCATTTAGTGACCCGTTCAAAGTTACAACAGCACTGAAAAAAGTGACTTATGACCGTCTTCCACACTTACGACCCTTGCAGCATCCCCAGGGTCACAAGATCAAAATGTGGATGCTCGACAACTGACTCATATTTAGGACGGTTCCAGTATCCCGGGATCATGTGACCCCCTTTTCTGACAAGCAGTCTCAATGGGGAAGCCGGATTCACTTAACAACCCTGTTATTAATGTAACAACTGCAGTGATTCACTTAACTATGGCAAGAAAGGTCATAAAGTGGGGCAAAATTCACTTAATAACTGTCTTGCTTTAGCAATATAAATTTTAAGGACAAGTGTGGTCATAAGTATATCTTTTTTAATGTCTACAGTAGTGGCCAAAATTGTGGAAACCTTTTGGGACAAGTGTATTTTGGGGGTTTGATGGCTAATAACACCACTTTTGTTTTTGGAGTAGTACCCTAAAATTATACATCCATGAAAAGATAATTTAATCAAGAATGTAATGCAACCAAGCTTGTTCAATTATCTGTACTATATAGCCAAATAACTGGAAAAAGGAAGCACAACTTGCTTAGGTTGATCTCAGGTAGCTTTCCTTCATCTGATGGTAGCCAATGAGCACGAGTGTTTAGAGAGCCAATCGGGTGTCATCTTGTTTTGGCAATGAGCCAATCAGATCACAGGAGGATCCGGTTATCGATGTCATGTATTGAAGCTGAGAGGGGGACATTTGTCAGTGTGTTGTGTGATCGCTTATCAAGTCGGTTGGGGTTTTTTGGAGTTCTTTCATTTAGTGAGCTTGTAAAACGTAATAAAATTAAAGTCACGGTGCAAAGAGTTGACTGGTCGCCCAGAAAGCGATGTAAAATAGAATTATTACAGTTATAAAGAAATTAGAAGAAAAATGGGTGGACGCTTAACCAAAGTTGGCATTTCTACTGTACACTTTTCCCACAAGGTTTCCACAATTTTGGCCACTACTGTACCTGTACACCGCCCAGAGTCTATGAGGGGGATGGGTGGTGGTGGGGGGTAAAGGACTGATGAGAAGCACCTTCTTCTTCCTCAAGGCAAAAAAAGCCCAGCTACCTTCTGAAAAAGCACCTCTGAGACCACTACGACCTGGATGACTGAGCATCTCCACAGACACGGAGGGAAGAAGAGATCCTTCTGACCAGCTCTGCTACCAGGAATGTTTTGAAACATTCACTGCCAAGTGTGCTTGGAAGAAAG